GATACATCCTTCTTCATAATATAAACATTACTAAAGGGCTAAAAATCAAATCATACTTCCCCCAACAAATTCTACTAGAATGTTAGAGATGGAACAAAGGCCCTGTCACTTCTGCTGTTTCCCTATCTCAAATTTCCACCTTCTGGGCATAACCATTTATTCTTTCCTGCTACAATCTATATTCTGCCTATTATCTGATCCATGGATAAAATAATACAGTCCTGGAAAGAAATCTATACTAACCCATTAAAACCATGTTGTAAAGCAGTACTTCAAAAGAAATTCATAGCTTTTTATATTTAATATTCAAAAATAAATCAGCATAATTTATCATAGTAACAGAAGAAAAACTGATCATTTCAAAAGATGCAGAAAGAACACTTGCAAATGCAGAAAGAACACTTGCAACAAAATTCAACAGTACTCATGATAAAGATACTCAGCACACTTGAAATAAAAAGAAACTTCTTCAACACAATAAAGGATATTATGAAAAATCCATAGCTAACACCATATTTAATGGAGAAATACTGAGAATTTCCCCTCCGTGATCAAAACAAAACCAAGAAGTCTACTCTTATCACTTCTACTCAACATTTACAGAAAGTTTTTGCCAATTCAGTAAGACAAGAAAAAGAACTAAAAGGCATAAAGATTAGAAAGGAATAAGTAAAACTATATTCACAGGCAACCTGGTTGATTATTCATGCAGAAAATCCTAGACATCTACAACAGCAGTCCCCAACCTTTTTAGCACTGGTTTTATAGAAGACAATTTTTCCACAGGCTGAGGTTAAGAGGGTGGCTTCAGGATGATTCAAGAGCATTACATTTATTGTGTACTATATTTCTATTATCATTACACTGTAATATATAATGAAATAATTATACAACTCACCATAATGCAGAATCAGTAGGAGCCCTGAGTTTATATTCCTGCAACTAACTGGTCCTATCTGTGGGTAATGGGAGGCAGTAACCCCTAAAGTGCGTTGCTTAGGTACAGTCTACTCTGTAATCTCATTTTGGTTACTGTCACAGCAGAAAACCCTGCTTCACAAAGATAAGATGTTGGAAATGGAAGCAAGCTTTTCAGTGCTTCTGTGGCAATCTCAGGATATTCTGCCTTCACTTTAATTTAGAACATTTGGAGATTTGAAGTTGTCTCAAACATACTCTCAAGGCCACTGTCATTTGCAATCTCAAGTAGTTGATCCTCTTCTAGCATGTGCAAAGTTGACTCACTTGACTTATATATAAATAGGTTGTGGATCCATTTCTTCCCACTTCAGGGGTCTTTCATGGTTGCAAGTAATGCTCAAACTCTTTTGAAAGCTTAGATAGGTGATCACATTCGAGCTGGGAGAAAGAAGACCCTGGCTCAGTCCCTTACAAAATCTCTGCTAAAGTTTGAAACATGTCAAAAATGCCAATGTTCATTCATTGCCCCCATAATTTGTTTGGCTTTGAATGCAACCATTTTATCTGCTGACTTGAACACAGCTGTCGTTTTTCCCTGAAGTGATAGACTGAGTTCGTTAAGCAGGCTGAATATGTCACAAAAGTAACCAGGTTTTGTGACCCATTCTGTCACTGAAATGTGCTGCCACTGGTGACTTTTTCTACAAGAAATTTCTGGAGCAGCTCTTGTAACTCAAAAACTCTGGTCAGTGATCTTCCTTTAGAAAGCCATCTCACTTCTATGTGTAAGAGAAAACATGTGTACTCTGCATCTATCTCCTCACAGAGCTTCACAAACAGATGTGAGTTAAGGGCATGTACTTTAATGTGGTTGATAATTTTAATTGCATCCAATAAAAATTGTTAAGCTTCAGTGACATTTTTTAGCTAGCCAGTATTTCTCTATGGATGACACAGTACATCGACTCACATTCAGAAGCAACCTCTTTGACCTTAGTAATGCAACCAGAAAGCCATCCAGTCATGGCAGTCGCTCAATCCATGCATTTACCAACACAAACGGTACAATTCTGTTTTCCTGATAGTTAACCATTAAAAGATTTGAATAGTTCTGCAGCTGTAGTGTCGGTTGGCAACAAAAGTGCACATAAGATATCCTCATGCATATCCTCCTGAAAAATATATCACACAAAAACAAGCATTTTTGCCTTGTCAACATTGGTAGACTCATCAACCTGGATTGCGCGTACCATGGTGAGTCTTTAACCCCCTCTAACAATTACGCCTCAATATTCTCTGCTGTTTCAGCAGTTCATCTAGTTATGGTGCTAGTCAAAAGAGAAACACAAGCCACCTTTTCAACTGCAGCTTCTCCTAAAAGTTCATGACAAATGGCCTTAGCAGCAGGCAGGATCAAGTCTTCACCAATGGTAAAAGGTTTCTTAGCTTTAGCAATGCAGTTAGCCACTAAGAATGATGCTCTGTATGCAGACACATTTAATAAAGTGGTGGCCTTCAGTAACTGCTTCTGTTCTTCATGTTTACCTTTTCTTCTTTTGAAAAACTCCAAAGGCTTATCTTTTAATGTGGGGTGCTTAGTCTCCATGTGGTGAAGCAGTTTTAAAGGTTACATGGCTTTGTTAGATAGCTGGTCACCAAATATTATACAATGCAGGCTTGGAAAATGTGAATCACCTGTTGCAATGAACCTGTAATTTCAGTAGGACTCTTGGTATTTTCTTTTAAATGCAGCTTTCTTTTTGCTGGCAGTCTTAGAGTCTCCTGCTGTCTCATCATTGGGTCTTTCCCCCTTTTCAAAGAAGCATTCCAGCAATGTTTGTTTTTTACTCATTTTAGCTAGGGTTAGCATGTGGGCTTAACAAAACTTACTGAGACTATTGTGTTATGGGGGAAAGAGGCACAGATGGAGGCGGTAAATAAAATAATGTGTGGGCCACACATGGACTAAAATAAGTGTCAGATTTTGACTTAAATCCTGCTACCGGATGCAGCTTAATTGTCACTTTCCACTCATTGATAGGGTTCTGCTATGAGTCTACAAGCAATTGATTTATTATGGTCTCTGTGCAGTTAAACCTCTCTGCCAATGATAATCAGTATTTGCAGCTGCTCCCTACTGCTAGCATCGCTGCCTCAGCTCCACTGTTGAGATCATCAGGCATTAGATTCTCATAACGAGTCCACAACCTAGATCCCTCCCATGTGCAGTTCACAGTAGGGTTCATGCTCCCATGACAATCTAATGCCACTGCTGATATGACAGGAGGCAGAGCTCAGGTGGTTATGCAAGTGATGGGGAGCTGCTGTAAATACGGATGAAACTTCACTTGCTTGCCCGCCACTCACCTCCACTGTGTGGCCCAGTTCCTAATAGGCCATGGACCAATACTGGTTGCTGGCCCAGAGGTTGGGGACCTTTGGTATACAAAACAACCACTAGGACTAAAAGAATTCAGCAAGGTCCTTGCCAGTAGCACTCAGTTGGTTGGAGCATCATACGGTAAACCAAAGGGTTTCGGGTTTGATTCCCAGTGACGGCACATGCCTGGGTTGTGGGTCTGGTCCCTGGCCAGGGTGCCTATAAGAAGCAATCAATCAATTTTTTCCTCTTACATTTATGTGTTGCTCTCTGTCCCTTTCCCTATCTCTAAAATTAATAAGCATGTCCTCAGGTGAGAATAAAAAAAGAACAACAAAATTGGAAGACTTCCACTACTTGACTTCGAAACTTACTTTATAAAGCTACTTAATAAAGACAGTGTAACATTGGTGTAAAGAAAGACAAACATATCAATAAATATAACAGTCCAGAAGTGAACTTAAATGATTATGATTTTCAATAAAGGCAACAAAACAGTCCAATGGAGAAAAACTTTCAATAAATGATACACAGGAACAACAGGAAAGCCATACAGAAAAAACTATATTCAAAAATTAATTCAAGATGGACCACAGACCTATAGTTTTTAATGTAATAGTTATGTATTTACTTTAATATGCACTAAAGGAAAATGTAATTAGCATTTAAACCCATATTTCAGGGATGATATTAATTAGAAATTTAAATAAATGAGTCAATTTTAAATTAAAAAATAGCAATAAAAGTGGTTTGTAGATAAGATGAAAATTGCAAGGTTCGATTATGAACGACTAGAACCATGGATCACCAGAATTCGACAAAATAATCAATAGTATATTGTCCCATCCCAGGGCTATGAGAAAACTGAACTTCTCTCTTCCGGGTCCCTCAACTGCACAGTGAGCACAGACAACCTAATGGGGCACCCAGAACCCTCACTACACAAAACGAAAGTTATTCTCCAATAGCTTCATGGTTGATGTTGTTTTTGAGGGGGTGCGAGGGTGGAGCAGGAAACCTGCCTCCTATTCATTTTGCACAAATGTATGCCAGCAAACTTAATTCTCCCATACTCTATCCAAGGCACAGCTATAAAAACATGGCCACAAAGAGAGATTCATGATAGCACTCAGAGAGAGAATCTATTTTTGCATTTATCATCATAAAATTGGAAGTCTGGCACACAGCAGGCACATAATAAGTAGATAATGAATAAATGAAAGGTGACTAATCTTGGAGGCTGAACTTTTCAAACTCAAGTTTGCAAACTCAGGTGTATATGATGGCGTATCAGGGCACACAGGAATAAATGTCATCTAAAGACAAAAATTTTTAAGGGAAAAAAATGTCATCTTGAGATTTTTAGACAAAGCCTTCATTTTCCCTGGTGGTAACACACTTAACATATTATTTTTAGACAAAACATAATGAATACAATTTGGAAGGTGGTTGAGACAGATCCGGCAATATCTATTAAAATTTTAACAGAATAACCTTTGTTATGTGTGGTCAGGGTTCTGTGTGCTCCAGCAGTTTCCACTTCTAAGACAGAAAACCACAGAAAAACTTCCACAAGGGTGCAAAATGGTATGTTCACCTACAAAAGACAGACACCCTTAATGGACACTATTAAAAAACTGTCTAAATGCTTCACGCACACAAGGGGGCATCCTATACGCTTTCTATGCCTAGTGCAGCAATGGCTCAGTTTCCCAAGAAGCATCTGAAGTGTGCAGCAGCTCCAAAGCAATGGATGTTGTACACACCAACCAATGCGTTTGCTCCTTGGCCACTTACCAGTCCCCAAAAGCTGAGAGAATCTCTCCCTCTCATCAGTTTAAGGAACAGACTTAAGGCTGCCCTAACAGAAAATGAAGTAAAAATGATCTGCATGCAGAGGTTTATTAAGATTAATGGCAAGGTCCAAACTGATATAACATATCCTGCTGGTTTTATGAATGTGATCAGCATGGACAAGACCGGTGAGAATTTCCATCTGATCTGTAACACCAAGGGTTACTTTGCTGTTCATCACATTACACCTGAGGAGGCCAAGTACAAGTTGTACCAAGTGAGGAAGATCTTTGTGGGCACAAAAGAAATCCCTCATCTGGAAACCCATGATGTTTGCACCATCCACTACCCTGATCCCTTCATCAAGGTAAATGACACCATTCAGATTGATTTGGAGACTGGCAAAATTACTGGTTTCATCAAGTTTGACACTGGTAACCTGTGTATGAGAAGAACTGGCATGATAACAAAAAGAGAATGTCACTCTAGTTCTTTTGACACAGTTCATGTGAAAGATGCCAATGGAAACAGCTTTGTCACCCAGCTCTCCAACATTTTTTGTTATTGTCAAAGGAAACAAACCAAGGATTTCCCTTCCCTGTGGAAAGGGTATCTGCCTCACCATTGCTGAAGAAAGAATGGTGGTCAAATAGAATAGTGAGTGAACTGAGCTCTAGGTGACATGACTTGAAAAGTCTTTGTACTTAAAGAAAATACAGCATGAAATAAAGGGGTGGGTAGATACCCAAGACATTGTTGAGTAGGGGGAAGCAAAGCACAAAAGAGCAGGTGTACTGTAGCCCCAGTGTGAAATTTAAAAATAAATTTTAAAATGACACTAATACATTCATATAAGTATAAATATAAATCTGATTGAGAAAACCCAGATTCATTAACATCTGAAAGGGGTGGGGAGGTTCGTACTTTCTCTGAAAGCATTTCTGAAATGCTGGAATGTTATGGAAACTTTGTACTCAGAATAGAGTTTGAAAACAAACAGGGAGTATTCCCATGTAAAAATGCATACCAAAAAAAAGACTTCAAAAAATGTCTTCTTCCTCTGGGCCTCACCTTCAGACCTATACCTCCACGCTCAGGTTCTAAGCTAGCTCACTGACACCTTTGGTGGGGCTCATCAGAAGAAGGTACAAGCAGCTGTCAGAGAAAGAAAAGTGCTATATTGTAGGAAAGAGCATTCCTTTTGCCCACAACCCAGCTTCCCCCATGTTGTCTTATGCTCCAGTGTTCCCCTAAGAGAGATGACATCCAAAGCTCTCCACAGGTCAGCTCATGGTCCTGTCTCGGGTTTTAACATCCAACTTTCTGGCCCACCCTGAGTAAGAAGACACTACAGACCCAAACTGTGGCCAGAAGAGTTCCCTTTCTGAAACTGAAGATATTTTTCTGTTCTATACTTTTTGGTTACATCTTAGGCAATTTGGGGTTATTACTAAAGATCCTTTCCTGGGATTTTTATGTTTTTTTAAATATGCACATACAGAATTCAATTAAAAGGACTATTGCTTAGAAAGAATTGCTAAGAGACCAAGCAACTCCTAGATAGAACTGGTCTCTACCAAATTTGAAAATGGGAAGAGAATGGAACTGTAGCACTCACTCCAGAGCTATATAAAAATACTTTTTGCAAGTCCAATGACTGCTAGAGGCAAAGAGAACTGTTCTCTCCCTTGTTTTCTCCTTTCCTCTCATCTGTAGTCCTCCCTCCTCCTGACTACCCTGAAATAACATTGCTTGGGGCTACGACCATCTGTAGCTGCCAGGGGAAAGCACAATACATTCAGAAACTCTTGGACCCACATATCCTGGAGATTGGAACTGCACAAACAAAGGGTTAGAGGAAGGGGGAAGGGGTAGAAGGAATAAAGGCTTAAAGATTAAAGTCACAGGCAGAGACAGACGGCTCCGTTTTTTAATAACTGAAAACACGAGTTGGGTCTGAATGTGCTCATTGTTTAGCAGAGGGGGCAGTCTATGTAGGCAGGACTGGCTGGCGACAGGACTGCCTTCCCATCAAAAATAAGATTTACCAAAAGGGCAGGGTGGGGAAGAGGGGGCTAGTAAGACTGGAGCAGACCTCAACCCAGAGCTCCATTTACTAATGATGGCACAGAGGACAGTAGTCAGGTGAGCATTAGATCACTGTTCACCTGGAGATCATTAGATCACGGGAGAACTAAAGAGGGTCTGGAAAAAAAAAGATAACTGGCACACGGACTTCTCTCACACAGCTGCTCTTGTGAGTATAGACTAGTACAACCTTCTAAGAAGAAACTTAGCATTTTGGATCAAAGGGGTAAAAATGTATATGCATTTTTGCCTTGTAATTCCATGTCTAGGATTCTAGCTCCAAGAAATAATCCAACCCAGGACAAATCTGTATGAACAAAGATATTCTGTGCAGCATTATTTACAATTACAAGAAATTAGAAACAACCTAAACATCCAATGCTATAGGGGAAGAGTTGTGTTTATTTCTGTCTCCTTACTAAAAGGATGTAAGCAACTTAAACAAATACACAGAACAAAGAGGGAAATGCAAGTGAACAAATTGCAGCAACAGAAAAAAGGATTTGTTTAAAAAATGAGGTCAGAGCTGTGCTGCTGTTTCTTAATTCACACACTGAGGGCCCACACAGCCACCACCACCACCAAGTTATAGGAGCTATCACTGCTGAGTGCCCATTCTCACTGAGTCTTCTCCGCAGCCCAACAAGGGACTTACTCTGTCCCCATTTTATAGATAGGAAACCTAGGCTCCAGAGGTCACTCAGAGCCAGGAAATGACAGCACTGGTTTTGAGCACAGGTTTTCTCTAAGTCAAAGCTTATATGCTTTCCACAACACACACGCTTAAAGAAGCTGTATATTCATACAATGGACTCCTGCAGGCATGAAAAACTGATGTTTGAAGAAAGTGATTAATGGTATGGGGAAAATACTTATAAAATAATGTTAAATTTTAAAAAGCAGTGGAAAATTACATGAAATGTATAATTCCAATCATGTAAACCACATGATCATTTTCTTCTTTAAGTTTTGTCTATTATCTAAATTTTCCAAAATAGGTCTGTATTAGTTTTACAGTCAGAAAAAAATGACTGTATTTAAAAACTACAGAAAGGGCCACTGTGTTTTCATTTTATAGCACACATCCCATACATATACACAGTAACTCATTTTTGTTTTATATAAAAATTCTACATATGTAGTAGAATCAGAAAATATACATGCTGAGACCTGAGCTGAAGAAAATGTTATGTTTATGTCCATCATTTTGTGAATCATAAATGAACAATTTCATTCTGCTTAGAACTTTATCTTTTAAGTCACTTGGGGTTACACATGTCAGAAGACAATTATTGTAAGAGTTTGGAATCCACATTTTTCTCTTGGGATATAGATTCTCATACAAATAAGCAAAGAGGCATAGACCAACTTTCCTAGGACTTCTTCCTGGCAAAAGAACAGACTCACCCACGTAAATATTAGGCCCACATTCCAGGCCCTCCAGGAAGTCAACAAGGGCATACCATCACCCAAGTCTAGCCAGGCAACAACTGCTTCTTGAAGGCCCAGCATGCAAATACCTCCTGGCATAGTTACGTGCATTTTGCTGGGGAGAAGGGCTAGCGCTCTCCCCTGTTTCTCAAAGGGCTATCTAGCCACTAATCTATACATGACAGTCCCAGACTTCACAGCAAGATTTCATGGCTATTCTCTTGGCTTTACCATCTAAACCCATGCCCAAACCCCAGCCTACTATCTAGGGACACACAGAAGATTTAGCCAACTTTGAAAATGGACATGCGAAGGGGAGGCACTCTTATGCACATGAAGATAAGGAGACTGAGGCTCGGAAGAGGATCACATGGTCAGGATACACCTGTGTCTGTTAGGCTCCACACACCCTACCAGATAAAACAGACCTTGTAGATGGTATGCTGTAAGTGTGACTCTTATTCTGTTAGCCGCAAAATACTGTGTTCAGCAACAAGACACAGGCTTGGTTTTCTATTATGAGACAAAAGAATAACAACTTCCCAAGAGCTATTTAATAATTTCTTTAAAATGTGTCTTCTGAATTAGCATGGAGTTAACAGCCCTCACTAGGAGCTGGCTTCCAGAACTGAACAGCAGTGGAGAATCACCTGTACTTTGGTTATCTAAAAGAAGGGAAAAAATATTTTAAATGATTTAACAGTTAAACAAATAGAAGAAAGGCATATTTCTTTCATGTTTCCTCAACTCCAAAAGCCACAGAATAATACCTTGACCCCTAAACTTTGAAATGAGTTTAAAGTATACTAAACTACCAATAGACTTTCAACAAAGATTGTGTGAAATATTAATTATAAAGATGCTCCTGGGAACCAGCGCCCAGTTCTCAGAAAAGGAGTTGGGTGAACAAACAGCTTCAACTGACCATATTCTTTCACCTCAGCTATGCAGCTCTGAAAGAGGAATGAGAACTTCCTAACCAGAGCTGTGTTTTGCTTTTTATGTAACTGGGGAAGGAGAGACTATTAAACTAATAGTGTTCATTACATCAACTTTGAAAAATAATATTAGAAAAAAAACCTTAGGATAAAATACTTTTTAAAAAAGGAAACTAAAAGTGACCTATATTCCCATCCCCTAAAGTTAGCCACTAATTAACATTTGATTTCTGTATTCTTGGTATCTTTCCTACTTTTTCACTTAACATTATATTTAATGTGATTATGTTTTTAAATTTTCTTTATAAGTATTTTATTGAAATGGCAGCACAAATTAATTTGCTTCATTGGTGTGGTTTCCAATTTAGTGCTACTATAACTAATACTATATGAAACATCTTTGTACATAAAGCTCTGGCTCATTTCAGATTATTTCCTAGAAGTTAAATTAAGAAATCACAAAGAATTTACTTAAGGCCCTAGACAGATTTTCCCCAATTAGTTCCCAGAGCCTGGGCCAAGCCAAAGCTTTCCATTAACCTGTTGTTAAAACATACATGGTACTCCCACCCAGCTTCTACTTGTCCTTGCTGCTCCAAAGGCATATGAACTATAGATGCCTCCATGAGAGGCCATCTCTGTTCTCCCTGGGGAGAGAATAACAGTCACAGCAAGGGCAGGTGCTGAACTAGGTAGGAGGAAGTCCCAAAAACTCAGTCAATCCCTGGTCTTGCTGTTCTTATTAAATATACCATGCAAGTACCCTGTGTGTGTCATGAAATGAAAAAAAAATTCATGTTCCAAAAAGGATGATAGGAAAAGGGTATGTAAAACATGAGCTCCAACACCAGGAATACTAAAAAGGGCAGCCTGTGGTGACCTGGTTTTATGTGTTGTTTTGGGTTGGGTTTTTTATTTTCACTCAAGCCCTGGAAGGCATCAAGGCCTCCCCACAACCCCATCCCAAACAGCTACTACACTACTCAGTATTCATGGTCCAGGCTCACTTAGATAAATGCACTATATCCCTTCCCCTCTACCCTCCTATTCCAGGGATAAATCTGCTTACACCAGATCTCTTCTTCTTTTGGAGAAATAACTTAGGAGTCAAACAACCTATGTTCAAATCCTGGCCTGTCAATTTGTGTGGGTCTTTAGTAGGCAAGTGACTTTCCCTTGCGGTGACTGAGTTACAG